GAACTGATGCAGAGGGAAAGAGGGAAGGACAAAGACTTTTCTAAACCTCAACTATTCATATCAGTGAACAATGTAAGCAGGCTGTGAGGAGTCAGGTGAGCACCAGGCATGCCAAAAAGACTGTCCAGCTCATGCTTTCAATTTTCCTACTTAAGAAAAAAAAAGTTCAGAAAGTTTCATCTTACTGTAAGTGGAGGAAAATAAAAAGTAAATAGTTGTTTCTTCTCAGTTTACACTTTTCTTCCCCATTCTCCTTTCCAAGTTCTCTTGGCTTGAATAGTAACACCCTAAAAAAGAAATTATACTGTGATTTCATCCTAAGCTTCAGTTTATGGACTTAACAGGTCTCTTGGATCTTGCACTTGGAGCCATTAAAATTTCTCTGGAAGCTAAGAAGCACAATATTTGGTGGAGGTTTTTGGTTGAAAGAGGGGGGGTGGGGGTGGTTTATAACAGTCTCTCAGACTCTTTCAGTCAACAGCCCAATGACCAAAACTAATAGTTTGTAACACAGAAATAAAACTCATCAGTTTGGAAAGATGGCTGCACTGAAGCAAGCATCTTCTAAAGTCCCACTAAAACTGATACAGAACATGGCATCACTACCCTACACAGCCTAAGGAAATACAGTCATGTTGGCACTTCAGTTTCTACACGGGATAAATATTTAGGGAACCTCTATTAAGACATTCCAGGAAATAGGGTTATGCCCAAACAGCATCTTGGGCCTCCTTCAGCACTTCTCCTCCTCAGGGTTCAATGTAAGTGCCTGCAGAGGAATAGGAGATGGTACCATTGCCCACCTTAGACTGAACTACAAGTAAAACAAGTTAGTCAGTAGCAAACATTTGTAAACACTTGAAAGTCATCACATAGGTCAGTAGATGACTTGAAAGCAACTTCAGAAAAGTTTATTTCAACCTGAACCATTCCTGTGTGCACCCCCATAAATGCAACAGCTCAAAAATTTACTTTACAACTACACTCCACATGGCTTTTTTCACCATCACCACCTCTATTAAAAAAGTGATTAGCCTTCTCAGAAATGAACCACAATCACCACACTGCTGACTTGCTGAAACATAGATGAGGGTGAAAGATAGAAAGCATTTTTAATCCAATTTATATGAACACATGGGCCATGCTAGGAATAAGTAATGGAGGAACAAAGTCACTTCAAAACATGAAGCCCATCAGAAACCCATTCAGTCGGCTTATGTCTGTAATTAATTTGGTGCAAAAGAAACAAAGGTATTCAAAGTCTGCTTGGGAACTTAGAACCTAAACGTGGAATTTAGCAGCATTCCAAATCAGGCATAACCAAATGTCTAATAAATCCAGGCAGAGAGGCACAGTCCTTTTTTCTCTAAAGAAAGGGACTTACAAAGAGAGTATTTTGACTACTAAAAGCATTAGTAAAAGATGATGAGTTTTGTTATGTGTGCACAATAACATTTCCACAATTACCATAATCACATTACTCCTTGTCTTTCTAATTCTGCCATTTCTAAAAGTGCCACATCTTGTCAAACATGACAACTTCTGACACACCTGATGGATGTCATAGACCTTAATTCCTCAATGATTCCTTTAAGGAACATCATAAATAAGAAAATAATTTGTGAGGGATTGTTCTTTTTTGATAAGTAAGACATCACTTGAGGTACTCATGCAAGTTTCAGAGAACAGAAATACTGTGATAAATTCTAGTAATTTTCAATAAATTCTACAGATTGAAAAAGTATTTTAAGTAGATTGAGGAACTTATAAAAGTACTTTTTTTCTATCTACTGTCTCATCTAGTATAACTAACATTCTGTAGTTTACTTTTAAAATAAACAAAAATAAGCAAATCATGTTACTAATATACTTTTTCCATGAGCTATTAAGAACACACCTAAACAGCCAGCAGAAGGGAACCTAGAGCAGAACAACAAAAACACATATTTATAAGGCACTATTTGAAAAGCAGGTGTTGTGACAAACACTATTTATATTTCTGTGCTACAGAACTCATCAATAAAAGAAAGACAGAAAACACTGAGTCTGGGACTTGAACTGCCAGACACACTTCTAAAATCTTCTATCAGTTCCACTGCACAACACCTGCAATAAAACTGTCCTGAATCTGATGTGGGTAGCACTCATACGTTGAATACCTGTGGCATACAAAATATTCAGCTCACACCTGAAGACAAATCCATGTGAGTTACTCAGGGAGGAGTTTGAGATGGATTTTTTTTGCCTTTGATTTAATGCCACCTACAAAAGACCCTTTGTCCATCCTGAACAACAATGAATTTCAAAGGTATTTTGCCACAAAAAGAATGCAAGACTCCCAAGTAATTGGGTCCTATTAATTAATATATAGTTATACAAGCCTATATTTTTCATAGGGCAATTATAGAGCCTTCCCAAATTGTAACTCCACCAGGAATTTATTGGTGGAAAGAGTTCCTCATAATCAGGAACACCTGTCTAACAAACAGAACGATTAACTCCATTCACGTTCACAAGCTGAGTAGCACTATCAAATTAACAAATTAAAATTCTCTAAATCTTTGCATCTGGAAAAGAGCACAGCTTTTAATTGAACCTAGATATACAAAACCGCTAGTAGACTTACCATTTATCATAAAGCTAACATTTCAGGCCAAATAACATGCCTTATTCATGCTAATTATTATGTTGAAGTCAATGAGATTACTTGTATGAGCTACCCTTACTTTGGCCTTCAAATAATCTAATCTAATATTCTACTGAAAACGTAAAACTCAAGTGTCGTGGTCAGTTTTAATGCTAAACTGCATTTGCCAAGACTAGTGATCATGTTACATATTAAGAACTAAAAACTTGTCCAAATTTAACAAGAGTTATTCTCCCATGAACTCCCAAAGTTTCTCAGTCTGCCAGCACTCAGCAGTTACTAGTGGAATACCTGACTAAAAGTACTCACAGCACAAAAACTGTATAAACTGAGTAATTAACTTGAGAATGGGAATTTAGTCTTTCATCTCTCTCCAACTGGCCTTAACCTCAGCCAATTTCTGTTGATGTATTAGAAACAGAAGTTTAACATTAAATTTGCAAGGCGCTGAAGAGAAAAGAACATGTTAACAAACACCATTTGATCTACAGAAATTATTAATATTACTCTAGTATCTCAAGGTAAAGATACCAGTAACACCAGTTCACTTGGTACCATAGCAGAAATGACATAACATTATCTTACAGTGTAAGTAGAGATTTTGTAGCCCCAATTTGTATCTGAGAAAATTTTATTTATGTGCAATTTTTCCTGCATCTTCTTTCACTTCTGCTTTGAATGCTCTGAAGCATTCGGCTCCAGAGATTTGTCTTCATCATTAAATTATAAGTTTGCTTTCTCGGTGAAAACAAGTACTTGGAGATCCTCCTAAGCAAAGACATGGTTTTTGTTCTTTAGTTTAATTCAACAAACACACTACTGGTCACCTAGCAGAGGAACAAATTTTGCTTGTTTCCCCCATGGAAACAGTTACAGAAGTCTGCTTTCCACTTGGGAATACCCTTAAGGTGGAAAGCTTAAGAACAGTAATATCAGCTTGTGCAGTTCTCTTCTAGTAATGATGTACACAGCATGCAAGCAAAAGGGAACAACATGTTCTGAGTAGACACACATAATGCCAGATTTACTTTTTCAGTACAAGTGACAGGATTTGTTTTGGGATTGATCTCTCTTAGATCTGCAGGTTGCAAGCTCTATCTTGGCTTATGTTGAAGCCCATTCCAATACACCTTCAGCATTACTCTGATTTGAGCAGGGAGGTTGGCCCAGATGACCCACTGTGGTTCCTCCCAATCTTACCAGTTCTGTGATTTCATGTAAGTCAAAAACAGCCTAGGCTTGTACAATCACACATTTAATTTACTGGATAAATTTTCAAATAAAACACGTTGAACTAGTTTACAAACATCTATTCCCTGTTTCCACATAAATCAATACAAGAAAATAACACAGTAAAAGCAACAGAGTTCATTACTGTTACAAATACTGTCCATGAATGACAAAGCCTATATATTTCCAAAACAAAACTAAATTCAGTCAACAAAGGATGCTTCCAGTACACTTAGCCAGTAAACGTGACAAAAAAACCCCCAGACAAACCCCCTGCTCAAAATAATTATTGCGCACAAAAGGTGACTCTGAAGACATCACTTTCAGGGATTCGGGTTTCTTTGCAGAATGTACGTGAAAGAAGCAGGGAAAACTTTTGAGCTAAATATATTCTCAGCACTCGTTCCCACGGAAAACACATGTGTGAGCTAACCCCGACCCAGTCTAGCAATACTGCCCCACCGGGACACTACCCTGTCTCTTCGTCTAAACCGCATTCAAACCCACCAACCCCTCTACCAAAACCAGTCACTTTTCAGGCCAATTTAAACACTTTACTAAACGTTTCTCGCCGTTGACTGATTAACCACTTAAAATATTGCTGGGAAGCTGAAGGAGACCTTTCCAACAGCAGCACGCAGAGTACCTGGGGAGCAGCGCGGCGCCCCTCAGGACGAAGCCCGCCCGGGCTGCCCGCAGCCCCTCACGGCGGCCTCGCCCCGCACTGGCCCGGCGCGAGTCCCAACGGGCCCGGCCCCGCCCGCGGGACCTCCCTCCCCTCAGCCCCCGGGCCGCGCTGCCCCGGCCGGCCGAGACCCGCGGTGCCGCTCCAGGGAGGATCCGTGAGTAAGCGGGACTTGCCCGCGGAGGTCGGAGCTCCCCGACCTGCGCTCCACCGCAGTCTCAGCGGGACCTTCCCGCCCTAACCTCGCTCGTTCCTCCAGAAGAGTCTGCGGAAAAGCCCATGCCAAGGGAGCCGCGCACCTCTGCCGCGCGGCCCCGCTCACCTCCACCCGGCTCAGGGCGACTCCCGTTCCCGCAGCCACCGTGCTGCCGGTCCCTCCCGCCCTCGGTAGCTCCCGCCTCCGGCCGCCTCTGCTCCCGCGAGCCCGCAGCCGCTCACCTGGCGCCGGGCGGCCGCCCGTCCCGTCCGTGCCGAGCCGCACCGCCCGCTCAGCACTAGACACAGCAGGCGCGCCGGCCGCCCCAGCAGCTGGGACAGCCACTGGACGGGGGGCGGAGGCAGGCGAGGGAGGTGCTGCGAAAAGCCGAGGGAAGCCGGCGCGGCGGCGGCCGGCGGAGCCGCCCGGGAGCGGCCCCCGCCGCCCCTCGGCAAGGCGGGCTGGGCGGCCCCGGCCCCTCCCGCCCGCGGCCCCGCGGGTGCGGGCGCGGTCCCGGCGCTGCCGCAGCGCCTGGGGCGTGAGGCCGGCCCGGAGCGGGCTGCAGGAAGCGAGCAGCGTCGGCTGCGCTGGGATAAGGCTTGGGGACACTTGGTGCCTCACACAACCAGCTCGGGGGAAGGCACTACCACTGCGAATGAGCTGTTTCACTTTTCTTGGTGGGCAACGTGTTCAGCCTTCTCTCTTGTAAAGTTTACTTCACCTTTAAAACAGATTTAACTACATTAAGCCGTAATGTTGCGTAGATTTTGCACATTTAGCAGCCTTCATTGCATTTCAATGAGATTCATACCTTCAGTCCATTCAGATTGTTGGTAGTGTAAATGAGCTTCGCTATCATGACGGCAGGAAGCTGAAGCTATGGCACTCCTCTTCCATTTTTCAATTGCTGGAGTGAAGCATATTCTGAAAAGGCAGGATTTTCAATGACTCATTTTATACCGAATGTTTGGCAACTTCTCCTTTCATGTAGGCAGTAGGTTTGGTACCTAGGCACTGCTGAAAAGACAAAAAAAGCCTGGCTCCAGGCCATAGCTGAGGAAGGCACATCCAGAGGGAAAGGCTGGAGCCTTAGGTGACAGCTCTTCTCTGTGTTACTGATGAAAAGATAAGACAGGGACAAATTCTAGGAGCTCTGCAGACAGCGGGTCTTCCTGAGGATGCAAGGTGTGATGAGTCTACGTGATGAACATAGTTTTGTAGAGAAATACTTGCAAAGAAGAAATTGGGGGTAGATGAAGAGGCTTGTTTAGTTTTGCTTAGATCAGTGGTGTCTTTGGATACTTTGGAGCTGGCATCTAGTTGAGCACAAGGCCAGTGCTTTTGCAATTCCTCACCAAAGTAAAAAACAGTAGGCATTTGTCTTTACCTTGTTTACAGGAATATCTTTCACTTCCTCAAAGGCTTAAGGAACACAAACTGTTTTCTTCCTAGATTAAACCACATGTGAGAATTATAATCACTTCTCATCTGGATGTCTGAGGTCAACAAGGAAGAAAAGAAAAATTGCCTTAAAGTTAGTGCTAAGATTGTGACACATAAGAATATAATTTATCTGCGAAAAGACTTGCCTAGTGATTCTACATCAGTGCTCTTTTGACACATCCACAGGCAGTGCTCTTTACCAATGTGGCTTAGTGATGTCTCCTCAGGAAAGCTAAAAGGTTCAGTGAGGCTGGAACCTGAAGCCCAGCTTACTCTTGGACACCTTATCTGTTAGTAGTGCAGGGTAAGGAAGCTTTCTGTGCTGTTTGTTATGTGAATAGTTACTGGTGTACAGATAAATGGAAGTCTGTCTATCCAACACCTCTGACAAATGATGCAATGTTTTGGGCAAAAACCAGCCAGTTGCTGAATTTTCAAGCACTGAAATGTAATTGCAGGAAGAGGATTTGCCTCAAAATACTTACTCACTTTCCACTAAGACCTAGTTAATTTACTAGGAGAAATTACTGTGCAATTTACAAAGGGAAAATGCTAAATTTATATTTTTGTTTATTTAGACTGTGTATTGCATACAACTGGGTGGTAACACACAGAGAAACTAAACCAAATTGATTTGTAATGACCTAAAAACTAAGTAAAGAACTTAATTCCCAGTGTATTTGTATTGCTCTGCTTAGCTGCCGTCTATGCCATCTATAGAGTTCTAGGACTACACTGGATCTGGGCAGTGTTGCATGGAAGCCAAAGGCAAACTCCTCTGCACTTACCAAGAAAACACAGACTTGAGTAGGGTTGAGGAACAAGCATGGATAATTGAGTAGCAAATAACTTTTCAGTCCCACTAGTTTTGTCGTGTTTTTGAGAAAATGCCAAAAAAAAAAAAAAAAAAAAAAGGTTATGTTAATTCAGATTGCTCAATGCCTCCTTTATTGTGATTGTGCAATACTGAACACTGGTTTAGTAGGAACAGCAGGTGATAAATGCAGGTTTAAGAAAATGATACTTCCTTGACGAGAAGGAGTCTAATCTTCCCTCCCCAAACAAAATGATCTTATGAAAACCTCTTAAATAAAATTAATTTTTTCTGGATCTGGAAGCCTCTCCAGAAAATGGGAGCACAGATACCATAAACTGGTGTTGATATCCAGTTTGGTCATGCATTCTCCTAGTGGGAAAATACTGAATTTCAAGGGTTTAACAACTGAAGCCTTTTATTTTCACCCATGTTCAACAAGATTGAATGTAGAAACTCCAACAACAACTCTAACCAAGTCAGTGACTAAACTCCCATTATCTTCATCTTAACCATAATTTCACATTATTCTTTCTAAATGGTTTGGGATTTATTATTACTACTACTTTAACTCTTTATTTATGTTAGTGTATGTATACATATTTCCTAGGGAGATAAGACATTACTGTGACATGTTGCAGTATTAATTTCATGTTTATAATTTATGTATCCAGATGGAATTTGTTCTAATTCTATAATTCATGTCTTGGTAGGAAAAAACCATATATAACTGACAAGAAAAAGAGGAGAGGGGAGATAGCGGGAGAAGTAAGCTGTGTTTCCCTTTTCACTTATGCTGTGAGGGTTTGAAGCTGTTGTTTCACAAAGATGCTTGATGGGACTTCACTATTTCTTAGTGGCAGGATTGGGAGGTTGCTTTGCTCTATGATATATATATGGTCAACTGCAGGGAGCCTAAATTTAGAGGACTATTTCAATGGATCACATTAATATAATACCTTTTATGTCAAATCTAATTGGTCTAAAAACAAAGCAAAAGAGATAATTTCTGTGGCTCTTGATTTTGTAGGGTTCTGTCTACTTCTATACCATGTGATACATTTCTGTGAACTCCAGAAACTGATTGGAGGTACAAAAAGCAGTTAAAATGGTTACATTTCTCTATTTCGTATCTAAATATAGTCCTTCCTGAAAATCACTTTCTCTAGTATAATGTACTAGCTATCAGTCACGTAAATTTCAGACCTTTAGGTAAAAAATATGTTAGGGTTTTTGTTTTAACTGATGGTAGCACTGGAGATTAAATAAAATTATCTATGAGTCCTTCAGTCTGTTTTCTGCTTTCAAAATTGCAAAGACATAAATATCAAGTGAGCAATTTTAGGATAAGGAAGTGATATGGATTAGCTGTGATGCTGAAAGGATTTAAATATATCAAGGGAGGGGGATCTAAAGCCTAATCTTAAAACTGCACATATTAGGCACAAAGTTGAGAGCTTGATTTGTGAAAAACAGCTGCCTCTCNAATTTGTGGCTGACCAATAAATCTGTATCTTACAAAAAGTCCTTGGAGTAGATACACCTATCTAATTCTAATAGAATAACTACTTATTAACATTCTTTTATCAAAAAACAGCATATAGGTGTGGTTACCATGAGCACAGTGTTTTCTGAATGTTAACTGAGCCAATACATAAAAGAAATCTTTTATATATGTAATCATTAAATAAGGAGGTTTTGTCTATCCAGCTGTGATTTTATATATGTTGTCAAATACTAAGTACAAAACCCGGGTAAGATTTCCTCTTGACTGTAGTAGTTTCTTCATAAAAAAGAAATATGTAGTATCTTCCTTACTGAAGGTCCAGGAAGGGTTTTAAAATACTAATAATAAAAACAACTGTATCTCTGTGATTAACTTCTAAGCCTCAACTCACCAATGAAATATGCATTTCAGTACTTGTATCATAACTGATGACAAGAGATATTTATGTTCACCAGGTTATTTGGCACTGCCGAGTTCCATGTTGCAGGCTGTCCTGCTTGCAAGCATGCAGCCACATCCTGTCAGACTGTATTCCAGCTAAGTGTCCCTATTGTATTTTCATTCCAAAATGGGGTAAAGGTAGAGGCAATTTGTTAGGTATTGAGGAAAAAAACCCAGGAAATCTTTGATACTGTTTTTTTTTTTAACAAAATTTCATGTACCTTATGCATGAATGATTATATGTAGCAGCAGGATGAACATTCTGTTCTGTTGGGTGATCAATACTCTTGAGCATTCTGTTCTGTTGGGCCTTCAATACTTCTCCCTCTGCAGATGTTCTCATGCAACACTCCATTCTGTGGAATTGAGAGCCTTCATTATTACGTGCTGGACTAAAAGGTGAACAGAGCACAAACCAAAATACAAGAAATGCCATTTAAACATAAGAAAAAGATATTTCGTGGTGAGAGTTATTGAACACTGAAGCAGGTTGCCCAGAGAGCTTGTAGAGTCTCTACCCTTGGAGATGTTCAGAAGAAGTCCAGATATGGTCCTGGGCAACTGCTGCAGCAGCCTCTGCTCTGAGCTAGTTTGGACTGGACTATGTCCAGAGGTCCCCTCCAGCCTTCAGCTGGTCTATCACACTGTGAGAACTTCTACTAGCACTCTGCTTTTCCTCGGAATAAAATACACTTTTGGCCAAGCAAAAGACAGTGATCCTCAAATTGTAAAAAATTTGAAGGTGATGAAAGGCTCTCATACCCAAAAGCCCAGACCAAGGTGCTAATCAGCATTATGGGAAACTACAAGAAAGCGTTGCCAAGGAAAGCAATTCTGAAGAGAACACCTGGAAAGGACAATTAAACCTTTCAATTCTCTATTTATGGCACTAACTCTCTTTAAATTGTATTGACATTTATATTTCCATTAAATAAACATTTTAAAGGAGTTGTAACTTGTCCATAATAAGTAAGTCTGTGTGGATCTTGGCAGACAAATTCTCATTCTGGGAACATTTCACATTTTTGCTTTTCCTTTTTTTTAAAACTTATTTTACAGA